GCCTGGGAAATGATGTCTGGAAAATGATGTCTGGAAAATGATGAATGGAAAATGATGCCTGGAAAATGATGCCTGAAAATGATGTCTGGAAAATGATGTCTGGAAAATGATGCCTGGAAAATGATGTCTGGAAATGATGCCTGGAAAATGATGCCTGGAAAATGATGTCTGGAAAATGATGTCTGGAAAATGATGTCTGGGAAATGATTTCTGGAAATGATGTCTGGAAAATGATGCCTGGGAAATGATGTCTGGAAAATTATGTCTGGAGATTTAATTTAACTAGTAGTTAAAAAATGATTTTGCAGAAGACGACATTTCTAAACTCTGATTTATTGGACACACATACGGATGCCCTATTTTCACATTTCACATGAATGAATTGTTAAAAACAATAACCTTTTCCAAAATGTGGTCTGCCTTTATTGTGCTGCGGTAGAGATCTTCAGAATTTAGTTCAGATTTCATTTATAAAAAAAAACCAACAATATTCTTCATATCTCCGATAATATTAAAAGCACACTAAAGGCAGACCACTTTTTGAAAATGCCAAGAATAGGGGTATTTTGTTATTATCAACTCTAGAATTTCCCTTCTTCTAATATTGGGTTTACGAATAAAGTCTCACATTATTTCAAAGATCAAAGACGACCTTCAATTCGTCTTATTACTGTCATTTTTGTGGGACACCCTGTACATCAAATTCTGACATGTGGGTCTAAGTAATAGTATCTCAATATAAACATTGGAGTCAGTTGGTAAACCTCATTTTGTTCATTACGAGACTAGAGTACAGTTGGAACTAGTCAATTCTGGAATTAGAAGACGACTTTTACACTCAAATTATGACTAGAAATTGTGAAGTTAAAACTATCCCATTTAACTTAAAGGGAGTATTTGCGAAAAATGAAAGGGGTACAGGCTTAATGCGATAAAAAAGGGCTTTTGATCGCTACTAATCTTACTTCTATCAGCTGCCTGCTTTCTCTCTAGCAGAACGGACCTACTATGCAGTCCCAGAATTGCAGCTGGGGAAGCGCTGTGTTTAGTTACGCATCTAGTATCCTACAGGGGAAGCAAGAATTGTACATAGATTAAAACAAAACTTCATCTTCAGCTTGGTTCACTGAAAGAGGAGTTTAACCCCTCGTGGGAATACAAGCCATGCACTTCGATACCGGTTTTTTACTCGACCAGATGTGAGGACTGGACTGCCATGGAAGATACCTCTCAATAGAGCTTTCAGGGATCACAACTCCCCATTTTGCATATGGGGTGCAGTTATGGGTAAATTCCTTAATTCCCCTAACTGGGAAACAGTATAAAATGAAGGAACACAGGGAGAAATCCCCTATACCCTTCTTCCTACAAACCTCCTTATCTCTCTCCTACCTGCTCCACAACTCGATGTTAAAAGAACTATTTGGAAAGGCCTTAAAGTGTAAAAACAAGAAACAAGAAGCAAGAAGAAAAAATAAATTGAACAGAAAAAAGTGGAAAAAAAATTGACAGTAGAGATGGGTGCTTAAACCAAGATAAACAAGAAAGAAGAAGAAAACTTTGAACAGGAAAAATTAGAAGGGGAATACACAGGATGGCAGACGTCCCATCCCCCCCTCTATGTCCTACTTGAGATAAAAAAACTGGAAAATGTGGAAAATGCCCCCCTCACCCCTCTCCCCCTCCAAGAAAAGCTAGGAATGCAATAGCTGACTCGACACTGTATCATGACTGAAGCAAAATTTAAATATAAACAAGGGGAAGAGTAACCTTGCTCTCTCAATATATAGAATATAGATAGATACAGGGCTTCAAAAAATAGTTCTACCTCTTCAATTTGGCTAGCTGCAGAAAACATCCAAAAAATTCATTTATTTTTATTTTCAAAATTAGCCATAGTGTGATTGAAGGATTGACAAGGAATGGAAGATCAAGAAGAAAGGATCAAAAACAAGAAATATAGAAGTCTCAAAATGTTTCCATCTGATATCTTATTAAAATTTAAAAATATTGTAAAATTAAATAAATGAATTATTAAAGTTAAAAATCTTACTTCTATCTGTTGCGTCTATAAGGAGAAAATTGTTAAAAACGACTCACACCGAAGAACGTAGTGTCCATACAAAATCGGAAAGATGCAACATTCAACTCGGATCGTAAAAAATCAATTTAATTTCAATTTTATCGCATTAAGCCTATACCCCACGTTCATTTTTCGCGAACACTCCCTTTAAAAAGTGATTAAAAAAGATTTGCTTTGAAACAATTTCAGTATTGTATTGATGTCGTCTTCCTATTCCATTGTTTTCTGTTTATTATTGTAGTTTTAGGTGTTTTTGTTTCAGTGGGATACTTTTATGAAGTATAATGGTGCAGCAACAAACAGGATATAGAAGTCGCCACTTCCCATTTTTATTGGGACACCATTGAGACTCTTCTCACGCAGATCTGTCGCTGTAATAAAAATAAATTCAACCTATAGAAGTGTAAAGTCTGCCCGCGTCAACCTTGTTGCACCAGCTAGTCCTGTACACAGAGCTAGACCAACTTTGTTGAACCCTGCCAGGCGGTACAGCACTAACTGAGACTGGAAAGGTTGACCCGGCTCGGAAATTCAAATTTACTCCGGCTGCCCGTGTTCTTCCTATATAATTTGTTTAATTGTATCCAATAAAATTCAAATTCGTTGTGCCAACTCTAACCACCAGGAATGGTAAAGATAAAAAAGTTTACAGGAAAATATCCAAGATATGTAAGAAATATCTAAAGTCTGTAAGAAAGAATCTGAAAGAAATATCGGAGGACTGGAAGAAATATCTGAGGTGTGTAAGAATATCTAAGGCTGAACCGCTGTGTGCGACCTAACATGGCCCCAGGGAAGGTTTATGAATGATCAATACTTCAAAAATTAGCCTCCAACAAAATGCGATTTCCATTAAATTTTAAAAATCCAAGAGTTTTTTTAAAAATCCGCAAACTTTTTTGTTTTTTGTTTGTCTTACAGTGTATACGAGGATAAAATGTTCACAATTGAAATAGAAGATGGGCACGAAACGGCATAAAAGCCTAGTTTAAGAATATCTGAGATATCTCACAAACACTACCTGTTACGGACAAACACCTGAAAGGCAGAGTAAACCTATTCCATTCCTTAACATGTCCCAAGGGCATCTTAATGACCCAACTTTAATTGGAGAAGATGAAAACTGGATTTAGATGTAAATTCTCTCCTTCTTGTGTAACCTTAAAACCTTTATCATATAAATGATGAGGAAAATATCTTCGTTTTCCTAGGCGTATTCCTTTATAGTTTCCTAGGCGTATTCCTTCATAGTTTCCTAGGCGTATTCCTTTATAGTTTCTTACGCGTATTCCTTTATAGTTTCTTAGGCGTATTCCTTTATAGTTTCCTAGGCGTATTCCTTCATAGTTTCCTAGGCGTATTCCTTCATAGTTTCTTACGCGTATTCCTTTATAGTTTCTTAGGCGTATTCCTTTATAGTTTCCTAGGCGTATTCCTTCATAGTTTCCTAGGCGTATTCCTTTATAGTTTCCTAGGCGTATTCCTTCATAGTTTCCTAGGCGTATTCCTTCATAGTTTCCTAAGCGTATTCCTTCATAGTTTCCTACGCGTAATCCTTTATAGTTTCCTTCAATTCCTTCAATAGAAATGCAGTGTAATTTTTAGAAGAGAAACCAAGGAATTTCAAATAACTAGTTATCAAGACTATAAATATAGATACATATTTCATACTTGAGTAGACAAAGCTTTAAAGGGTATACATTGTGAAACGAACATTGCCATCTTTGCATGGGGAGAGTCACTTGAAATAACAGTTACATGTCCCTTTAAGCTGATAAATTTAGCTGATATTTGGGAACTTAAGCACATTTGTCTGATATATTAAACCAATTAAATCTAAACTATTCCCTACACCCGGTACCGAGATTTATACCCTTTATATACTTTAGAAAATATTTTATACAAAACTTTTAGAATTCTTTTAATTAAGAAAAAAAATTCTATGCTTCACTTGCCAGCCTACCAGAGGGAGAAGGTGAATTTTATATAACATAGCTGTTACCACTTTGTGGAATCTAAGCTTCTCTAGTCTTCACTCTTCATACTATACGAACAAATATGATTATGATAATCTAATCAATATTTGCAAAGTTCGATGCACAACAGTACCCTTTGAACTTCTACCTGATTAACATATAGAGAGATTTTGTTTTTTGTTTTAACTTGAAATATATTTATTAATTATTTATACAGCCAAAATCTGCAAGTCACTATTATGTGAAACCCACAATTGAAATTGACCATTTTTCAGCTAGAAAAATAAATATTATTCATAAACTTATTTTTTTTTAGGGGGTGGAGGAGGGCTGTTCAGTTAACAGAGATACAAAGGTTTTTGAAAATAAAGGAAAGAGTCCATTAACAAGCGGCAAACACCGTTAATTTTAGAATTATTAACCAAACGGCTAAGCCATTTTAGAAAAAAAATAATTGTGGAAACAAAACAGATTTATTCTTTAAACGGTGAATTTCTTTTTTTATGCTTAAAATTGCATTAACCATGTATAAAAAATACAGTTTTTACGTGTTTTTATGTTTTTCAATTTTTTTTTCGGCGCGAAACTCCATTAACGTCGTTAATACTTTAAAGACTATTAACGACTGCGCAGTTTCATTAACCATTAACGATTTTGTATTCGAAGCTTCGTGACTTTAACACCAATTCTATAATAATTGTTGAAAATTTTCCATTAAAACCAATAACTAACGGTAACTTAAAAAAAACGGAAAATACCGTTAATGAAACAAAGTTTTGTTTTACCCTCCAAAACTAACAGCTACCTGAAAACGGTTGGAACTAACCGTTAACGAAGCGGATTGAAAGAGTTGGAAAGTGTCCAGCCCGGGGGGGGGGGTCATGATTGAGCTGAGTCTACAAAATGCCGTTTGATTAAATTCCGTAATTATATCTTCTAAATAAGTTTAAGTCAAGTTTATATTTATTGCTATTTATCAATTCTGGGAGGCTGATACAAAAGCAAAATTGTTCCGATCAAGATTGGGACTGTTGTGAGGTTTGAAGTTCCAGGTATTATTTGTTGGCTGCCAAACTTCTATTCTTGTTATTTCTGTTGATGTTTCAACCCCACCTGTATAATATAAAGTTTTAGGGCTGGACATAGGGTTTCCAGCATCAAACATTTTGCAATTTTTTTTGCTTTCGTTTCGCCATGTTTTTGCGCGAAAAATAGCACTTGGAGATTGTACTTTTTTTGCATATAATAGCAATGCTTAAAACTTGCCTAAAACTCTACTTTTAACTTGGTGCACGATGGCACACTGCAAATCAAGATGTGCAGGCTCTCACAAAAAAATCGAGCAGTTTTTGCCAACTTCTCCTTTTAAACTTAAGCTAGAAACAGGCACGTCGTATTTTTGAAATGAATATATGTCTAGGCCTGGAGAAAGAGGATTAATGACTTGTGAGGTAAATCTAAAGGCCAAGACACTTAAAAGTTAAGGCTGTATAGAAATTTGATAACTCAGGGTTGTCTTTATCCCTGTGGGCAAAACCGTTTAATATTTCAATCATTTGAATTTGACAAGAGTTAGTCAGCATTTGAAATATCAAAGGTTGCCAACACACAAATATTCAGACATCTGAAAAAAACTATGGATCAATTTTCAATTTTCGATTTTTAATTTTCTAATTTGTATTTTTTCAATTTTTGTCCCTCAATTTTAAAGTTTTTTGTAATAAAAAGTTAACAATTTAGAAAAGCATAATCATAACTTTGTATGTTTGTAAATTTTTAAATAAACCATCAGTTATTTGAATCTGTGCTGAAACTTGACTGAAACTTTCACTTTTGGTCAATTTGCTTAAAAATACTATTGTTTGCGTAAAAATTTACGTTTGACACAAAACTTTCGGCAAAACTTATTGCCCTACATGCACAAAAAATGTGATTCGCAAAAAAAAAATTGCTCCAAAATACACAATTTTTGCGTAAAAATTTATGGTAATTTTGTGGAAAGCTGGGCACAAATTGGGATGGATAGTTTCCACATGTCTAGTAAATGAATCGATCGTTTCGGTTCGACATATCTAGAAAAAAAACGAAAAATTAAACAATTTTTTAATTCGTCATTTTGTTATTGAAACTAGGTTTGTTTTTATTTTGTTATTTTTGATCCTTTTTAATTTGTTATATATGATGTAAATTTGGATGGGCTCCATGTGCTATTTGGCATGAAGTGTTCAAGGTGCCTCCAGAAAACCAGAACAATCTTAATAACCAATACAAGTTTTTCACTTACCACCCCCGAAAGCGGCAAGTTGAGAGTCAAGCAGTCCAAGACCAAAATTATGCCTAAGCATTAAACAATGTTGTTCCTGATAATCTTGATACAAAATTGTTAGGATATTCTAACCTCTTAATCTTCATTGGAGCTAAAGGTTTCCATATTTGGTCATTTGCTTGAAAATTCAGGAAATGAACAGTGTCAAGTAGATTATAATCAATATCTAATCCTCCTGATAAAACATAAAGATTAATTGATCTGAACTTAAAACTCGTTTATTGGATATCGTTAATCTCTGTATCCACTGTAGACACTTTTGATTTTCTGCTTAATCCTCTCTTTTGGATATCCCTGCTGGGTTTGGACCAATGAGAGTTTTCTCATTGATTGTGCGCCAAAATTTTGAATTATTTGGTTTCTTTTTAGCTGCTGGGTTTTACAACCGACTCTCTGATTGATTGCAATTTAGACAATTTACCAAACAGTTAGTCTGAAAGAGGAGATAAAGCATTGATCGCAATATCAACAATTCTAAAGTTTGCAGCTCTGAACTTATAAGTTGAAATTTTGTTTGCAACATATATTTAATAAAAAATCAATTCTTAATCAAAGTTAATTTCTGTACAAAGCATGCCATACAAATTTATTAGTACTTCTAGTACTTTGATGGGAACTTAATAAATGGAAATTTACTTTGACAAGGGGTTCCCTAGGATTAAAAAAATCCATAGGGAAGGAGTAAGGCATTGCAGGCCAAAATGGTAGACATCAAGGTTCAGAAAATTTCAAAATTTCAAATCAAGCATTGAAGAGGAGATATGCCTTTATTTATTTGTCCCAATTAGTCAGTAAAATTGTTTATTAGATGTATAATGTTCTGTAAACTACTACAAACATTAATGCACCTCTGTTGGGGGAATCATAGATTGGTAATGTTTATTAAAAGGTTGTAAAATGTATAATGTTCTGTAACCTGCTACAACAACAACAGTTGTTCCACCAATATTCAAACTTGAGCATGCATGAGCAAATGTCTCTTTTGGCAAGCTTGGCAGTGAGCTAACCAACATATTAAATATCATTATTTTATAGTTATAAGAAATACAGAATGTTAGTATTATACTAAACCTAGATATGCTCTCTGTGTTTTTAATGTTTAGCATCTCAACTTCTTTTGATGGCATACCAGAAATTTGTCCTCCAATGATAATCAGATTGTGACCGATGCTAAAATAAAAAATCAAACATTAGAAGTCTTGAAAATGATAACAATAATACCTGACAGAGCAATGCTTTTTCCTACTTCCATTAGATCTCATATTAGGACCTTGCTCCCACCCACCATTCCTGAATATTTCCAGATCAGGTCCAGCTGTTTGTCCACCAATTGCAACAATAGAATCATCTGTCACACTGAAGGTGAAGTCCTTACGACTTACCAACATGCTCGGGAACGTTTTCCAAGTAGCAAACCCTGCCTTGTAGTGGTAGCAAGAGTTTAGAATGTTGGAAACTGAATTAGCACACACAACCAAGGCCTTCTTGTATATAGCACCTACTGGAGGTCCACACCCAAGGAAAGGTGTGTCAGGAACAACTATTTTAGAATCAGAATTATATGCTTCAACACTTAAAATGGCTTTATGTTGTGAGCTACAGCCCCCAATTATAAATGAAGCATAACCAAAGCTTTCGATATCGTAATCTGTAGTGGCAAGTTCTTCATTATTTACCTCTCTTTTCTCAATAGATGCCAAGTGTCCTTTCAGGTATATATCATGCTGCCTATGCTCTGGTATATGTTCAGTTCTGTCTTTCCAACTTCCTGCGGAAAGTTCTGGTGTCTGTCCCATGCTAGATTTTGTAAAGTGATGGACACTGCTTGGTTCATATGTTGGCTCATGGAAATATGAGCTTGAATCAGGTTCATAAAATGGTTGTGGAATATCATTTCTTAAATGAGTCCTTCTTTCCTTCCATTCTAAATTTTGATAGGGTTTATGGGTGAACTTGTCCCTTGTTGATTTTGAAATTACTTCAGATATTAAATGTTTTAAAGATTTGATTGAATCTGTTAGATCTATGTTGGTTTTATCTTCTGATTCAAGTAGGTTCCCACGCTTCTTAGATATTCCTTCTCCTGAAGTATTTTTTGATGCCTTATCAGAATTTGGTATAAAATTGATTTGCCTGGTAGTCCAGGTTGAGGATGTTGCGAAACTATCAACATGAGGCAGTTGGGTAGCTGCTTCAGTTGTGTAACTTGATACGGTCAAATTGACTTTGGATTCAAGGTTATCTGTTTGTTTACCAGTTGTTGGTGTTAGTGACTGAGAAATGTTTGAGTGAATTGGTAAATTTGTAACAATTGTCTTGGTGAAAGAACTATTAATGGGATTGTTTGAAGATTCACCTGGCAAAGGAGAATTATCAGATAATTTTGACCCAATTGTTGTTTCCTCTTCAGATTTTGTTGATGCAGTTTCAGATGTTGGTGATGGTTTCAAAGAGGATGTTGATGCTAATATTGCTGTTTTTTGTTTGAAAGATTCCATTCTTGTAGATTTAGAGCTGGACATTAAAGTTAGCGAAATAGTTGATTTTGATGTGACTGGAGTAGACAATGGCGAGGAAGAAGTCAGCAGCTTCTGGGAAGATGTACTTTTGGTTGTTGACCTTATTTTAAGATTTGTGGTAAAATCTTTGAAAGATGTAGTTGGATGTGATGTAGAAGTGGAAGTAGTAGTAGTAGTAGAAGTTGTCAAAGAAGAAGTAATAAAAGTAGTAGTAGTAGTAGTAGTAGTAGTAGAAGTAGTAGTAGTAGAAGTAGTTGTAGTATCAGTAGTAGTAGTAGTAGTAGTAGTAGTAGTTGTAGAAGTTGTAGAAGTAGTAGTAGTAGTAGTAGAAGTTGTAGTAGTAGCAGTAGTAGTAGAAGTTGTAGCAGTAGATGATGAACTATTGCTGACAGTTGTAGAAGAAATGTTAGGTGTTGTCAATGTTGAAGTTACATTGTCAGTACCATCTGTAGTGATTGTGTCACTGCGGTCTGCCGTAAAGTTGTCACTAGCATCTGCAATAACGTTGTCACTACCATTTGTTGTAATGCTGTTAGCACCATCTGTGGTGATGTTGTCACTACGGTCTGTAGTAACGTTGTCAGTACCATCTGTGGTGATGTTTTCACTGCGGTCTGTAGTAGTGTTGTCAGTACCATCTGTGGTGATGTTGTCACTGAGGTCTGTAGTAATGTTGTCAGTACCATCTGTAGTGATGTTGTCACTAAAGTCTGTAGTAACTTTGTCAGTACCATCTGTAGTGATGTTGTCACTAAAGTCTGTAGTAACTTTGTCAGTACCATCTGTAGTGATGTTGTCACTTCCGTCTGTAGTAAAGTTGTCAGTACCATCGTTGGTGATGTTGTCACTAAGGTCTGTAGTAACGTTGTCAGTGCCATCTGTAGTGATGTTGTCACTACTGTCTGTTGTAACGTTGTCAGTCCCATCTTCAATGATGTTATCACTATGGTCTGTAGAAATGACGCCAGTACCATCTCTCATGCGGCCAACATCTGTAGTAATGTTGGTAACTCCAAAATCTCTAATTTCATCGTCTAAGCTAAGAGTGTTGGTTACCGTAACATTAACTCTAGTACAAAGAGGATCTATGGCACAGGATATCCATTCAATCAGTTCTGTCAGGTTAAACTGAATTTTTAGTGATTGATTTACTGAAAAAAAGGATTTTGATTATTAATGATTCCAAATATTCCATTCTGTCTCATGGGGGCTAATATTAAGCTAGACTGTAAGCAAGTTTTATGAAAAGAAACATAGATTTGATCTTTGCTGATCTAAATTTTCAGTTTGTGGAAAGTAATAATAAAAAGTTTTGCCTTCAAAGACATGCATTTAAACAAGGGCAATATTGTAATCTAGTATTGGTTTTGAGCACAAGTATGTGAGAAGAAAGTTAAATTTATTACAGATAGAAATTCAACGTTGTTTTCCTTCTCGAAAGCTCTTAAATAAAATTGTTTAAAACTGTAAGATTTCAATAAAACATGATATTTACTTAACGAAGGACCAGTAATAAAGAATTGTGTATTTTAAAACTTGGGTTTTTGGTTTTCTTTTCATTTTCAATTGTTTACTTGTAATAACTTGCCTGTACTTATGGTGATCTCTTCCCCCTAAATTATTGATAGTTTACAAATTAATCAGAGCTGAAAACTTTTATTTTTATCCTCTCTTTTGAATATTCCTGCTGGATTGCGTACAATGAAAGTTCTCTCATTGATTAAGCGTGCAAAATTTAAAAATTTCTCGGCAATATGATTGGCTGCTTGAATTCTCCACTCGACAATCTGATTGGTTGAATTTTATACACTTTCCAGGATGCACACGAAAGATTAAATTAATCTAAGTTAAAGAGGATTTATCTCTAAGTCTATAGTTTTAAACTTTCAGCTCAGATGATTTTATCATTTATCATTTCAATTGATAGCTATATATGAGAAGAATAACTGGTGCTCGATCTATCTCTCAGTTAAGTTTTAACAATTGGACAAAATATGAGTGTAGGTGCATTTAGCCCCAATTCTTTTTTTACCTTCATGTAAGACGACATTCGGTAAAGTTGCACATAATTTTTTTTCTTCAAAACAATAGTTTTTTAAAAACGACAGTTTTTATAAAGTTCGTCGTTTCGTTAACGATCGTTAACGACGACCCTTCATCAATGATCGTTAACATATTCACCAATGACAATTTTTTTTCTTCAAAAACAAGCGTTTTCAAAAAGTTCAGAACGAGTGGGTCGTTTTTCCGAAACGATCATTTTGAAAACGATCAAAAAACGAAACAAAATACGATTGTTTAATGATCGTTTTATTATCACGCGAGATTGCTAAATTCCAGAATAAGTAAATCAGGACTTAGGCCACAAACAATTTTATTATTATTTATTGATTATATTGAAAATAACTAAATTTTGTTCATATGTTTCTTCTAAGCTCATCTTAGAAACTTGTGTTAATATTTAAAATGTCCTCCTCATGACCTCCTGTAATTAACATTATCGTAATTTTGAGTTAGATATCTGATTCACAACAATACCCTTAACTATGAACTTATATCCATATTTTTGTTTTTCAAAAATTATGTATTTTTATTTGTGTTTTCTCCAGTATGCAAAAGTGATTTATATATTTCTTGCTTCAGAAGCAAAGGAGAAACTAACAGAAATGAACTCTTTACAAGCCGGAAAAACGATTTAAAGTTTCAAGGGTACGGTTGTGAAACGGGATCAGTCCCCTAAATATTAAATATTTAGAATAAAACAATCCTTACCATAGTGTGAGGAAGAGTGTACATAATTTGGAAACAAATCATGCTTTTAAAACAAGAAACAAGCTTGGCCATTTTGTAAGTCTGCCAAAATACATTTTGGTTTTTTTTTGGAAGAATTTTCGGTCAATGGCCTTTAAAGTGAATTTTTGGTCAGTTAAATTCTTTTTCCAAGGGTATAATTTTCATACCATTTTTTTGTGCTCAATTGTTGAAAAATAACTTTATATTGCATTATATAACTTGGTTTCGTTTTAAATATTTGGATTTTATAATTGTTTTTGCAGATGAATGAAGTAGGGCTAGGGCTGGGCACGTTCCAACTTTAGTTAAGTTTGTTACAACTGTTTAAAAAAATCAGGTAGCTGTTAGTTTTAAAGGTAAGAGCAGAACGCTTGTTTTAATTTTATCAACGACATTAATGGGAAACATTATCCACTAGCGGCACAAGCCTTTAACTATTGTAATTGTAGTATTAAGGGTGTTAAAGGTTTGCCAAAACTCCAAAATTTCCATAAAAAAAAATCATTAACGTTACAATTACACTAGACTGGTTAACCCTTGTACCGTACAATTAGACTATAGTCTAGTTAATCCTTGTACAATACAATTAAACTAAACTGTTTAACCCCTGTACCGTACAAATATACAAGACTGGTTAATCCTTGTACCGTACAATTACACTAGACTGGTTAACCCTTGTACCGTACAATTACACTATACTGGTTAACCCTTGTACCGTACAATTACACTATACTGGTTAATCCTTGTACCGTACAATTACACTAGACTGGTTAACCCTTGTACCGTACAATTACACTAGACTGGTTAACCCTTGTACCATACAATTATACTAGACTGTTTAATCCTTGTACCATACAATTACATTAGACTGGTTAATCCTTGTACCGTACAATTACACTAGACTGGTTAACCCACGTACCATACAATTACACTAAACTGTTTAACCCTTGAATCGTACAATTACACTAGGCTGGTTAATCCTTGTACAATACAATTAAACTAAACTGTTTAACCCCTGTACCGTACAATTATGCGAGACTGGTTAATCCATGTACCGTACAATTAAACGAGACTGGTTAAATTCTGTACTCTACAAATAAACTAGACTGGTTAATCCTTTTACTCTACAAATAAACTAGACTGGTTAATCCTTGTACTTTACAAATAAACTAGACTGGTTAATCCTTGTACTTTACAAATAAACTAGACTGGTTAATCCTTGTACTTTAAAAATATACTAGACTAGTTAATCCTTCCACTATACAATTACGCGAGACTGGTTAATCCATGTACTGTACAATTACGCGAGACTGGTTAACCCTTGTACTCTACAAATAAACTAGACTGGTTAATCCTTGTACTCTACAAATAAACTAGACTGGTTAATCCTTGTACTCTACAAATAAACTAGACTGGTTAATCCTTGTACTCTACAAATAAACTAGACTGGTTAATCCTTGTACTCTACAAATAAACTAGACTGGTTAATCCATGTACTGTACAATTACGCGAGACTGGTTAACCCTTGTACTCTACAAATAAACTAGACTGGTTAATCCTTGTACCGGAACGGATAATGCCAAAATATTAACTTTTGAATTGAGACAGAAGACTGTCTGTAAATTGATAAGCTAGTTTAGTTTATTTTTACAATGAAATAAATTTATCTGATTTTAATATACACTGCACACTGCTTCAAAGAAATTTTAATAAACTTTTTGTTTTGATTAAAAACGGCTTTGAAGTTGTAGCCTTCTTCATTGCAGAATATAAAACACAAATAGAAAAAATGATTACTCGTTTCAAACTCGGATTTTCTAATATTCTATCGATATATCAAACTATAATTTCTGTTTGATAAATTGTAAACATTTAAAATTTTAATTGTTTACGCCTTCATGTTGCAGAAATATATCTATATAATAAAACAAGACATTCATGTATATGTTGCGCATAGCTGGCCAAAAAGCTGGACCGTTTGGGCTGAATTTTTTGTAGACACTCATGGATGGCGGGAGTGTACGCTAAAAAAGTTTATTTCATAAATAAACAAAATTTTGATTTAAAAAAAATTTATATTCCACTATTAGAGTACAATATAATATGAAATGGGGTATTTATAATTTTTTTTGAAAGGGTCTGAAAAAAAATTGTTTATATAAGATACAAAATACAATCTACATATTAATTCTATAAAAAATTCTCAAATTTCTTAAAACTATTTCGAATTCTAATTTAGTCTGTTTTTTAAATAAATCAAACATTTACTATGCCTGTGATTCAGTGACAGCTAAAAATCCTTTAAAAATCTGTCCGGCTTAAACTAGCTTTAGCAGTTTAGAATAGAGAAAATATTGCTAAAAATCAATTATATATTTTCTGTAACCACTAGAACAACGCACATCAGATTTTTCTCTTTTTATGTAACTTTTTCTTGAACCCTTAAAATCATACTTTTTTATAGAACTATTTGATGTAATTACACATGCTGTAAATCAGTCTTAGGCAAAAAAGATGCGTTTATTTTTAAATAATTAATATTTCATATTTTCTATAATGTTCATGGATCGAATATATAATCGCCATCCTTCTTCTTATATCCAGGATTAGGTTTTATCTCAGGAGCCGCAGTCTGTAAATATCCTTTCCCTGGTGCCTGCTGGGGTTCATCTAGAGTTTCAATGAGATAGGATTTAGGTCTTCCCTCGGCTACCATCAACATTAAACTAAACAAAATAATCCTGAAACCTTAAACTGACAAAAAATGGGATTTAGGTTTCGTCGTTTTCATGACTCAAATTCATGACTCTATTTCCTGACTCTATTTCCTGACTCAATTTTCTGACTCAATTTCCTGACTCTATTTCCTGACTCAATTTTCTGACTCAATTTCCTGAATCAATATCCTGACTCAATTTCCTGACTCAATATCCTGACTCTATTTCCTGACTCTATTTCCAGACTCAATTTTCTGACTCAATATCCTGACTCTATTTCCTGACTCAATTTCTTGACTCAATTTCCTGACTCAATTTCCTGACTCAATTTCCTGACTCAATTTTCTGACTCTATTTCCTGACTCAATTTTCTGACTCAATTTCCTGACTCTATTTCCAGACTCAATTTCCTGACTCAATTTTCTGACTCAATATCCTGACTCTATTTCCAGACTCAATTTCCTGACTCAATATCCTGACTCTATTTCCTGACTCAATTTCTTGACTCTATTTCCTGACTCAATTTCCTGACTCTATTTCCTGACTCAATATCCTGACTCAATTTCTTGACTCAAATTCCTGACTCAATATCCTGACTCAAAAAGTGTTAATTTCTGATACTTTCTCAATTGTTTCATAGAAGCAGAACTTGCAAATGGAAATAAGCAGTTTAAAGAAACAAAAACATGCATGATATCTTATTCAAACTTGGTGAGGCAACACTTGTATTGGTACCCTTGTAAATCCTATTCAATTTTGGTGAGACAACACTTGTATTGGTACCCTTGTAAATCCTATTCAAACTTGGTAAGACAACACTTGTATTGGTACCCTTGTAAACCCTAAGCGAAAAGAAAAACATTTTTGTCTTCGAAAATCAAACTTATTCAAAATTAGAAATTTTTTCTTTCAAAATTCAAAATTCATATCAGATAATCAGAGAGTCAACATTTGTGACAATTTTATAATGGAAATTTGAGGAAAAATCTTAAACTATGCTGGAATTTGGAGATTATTCTCAAGTCTCCGGTAAGCTGAAAAAAGAAAAAAACCATGCCCAACTCTGAACATGCTGATTTACATGCTGATAGGAAAACAAAATATTAGATTTGAATAATTCAGACTTTTATTTGGAAAATTATTGGACATAAGGTTTAAAACTGACATTCTTTTATCCATAGAACTCATTCTTTAAGAGAAGCTGATATTATGAAACCTAATTATTGGACATAAGGTTTAAAACTGACATTCTTTTATCCATAGAACTCATTCTTTAAGAGAAGCTGATATTATGAAACCTAATTATTGGACATAAGGTTTAAAACTGACATTCTTTTTTCCATAAAACTCATTCTTTAAGAGAAGCTGATATTATGAAACCTAATGAATGCTTTTCTCATGTTTGGGAAATATACTAGAATTAGAGAAGCTAAGAAGTTGCAAAGCTATTCATGTAATTTCGTATAAGTTCGACATTAAAGAGACTAACCTGAGGACAAGAAAAAGTGCAATAAATTGTATCTTCATCGCTGTTTTTGTTCAACTGAACTCTAGTTAAGAAAACTATCAATTTTATATAAGAAAATATCAAATAATCTCCCATAAAGTATGAAATGAAAAACAATTTTAGGATGTACAAAAAAGTTTTCAGGTGTAATTTTGAATCATTATTTTTTTCTTTTTTTACAGCAAAGTTTTATTTTCCAAACAAAAACATTTTTTGCGTCTTTTTTTTACTACAATATTATTTTACAATGGTTATTTCTGAGATATGTTATTACTAGGAAGAAAAAAACATGTTCGTTAGAATTTTTACAAGTTTAAAATATTAGACAATATTTTTTAATTTCTAACACATTATTATTGAGGGGGAGGGGAAGCCCCTTGAAAACTCGGGGGATGTCACCCTCCCTGGAAAATTGGGGGAACGCCCCCCCCCCCCAGGAAAAGATAGGAGCGCAAGAAGAGAGAGCAGGCACCTTCTAGCCCTTAAATTCTGATTTTTTAGAATAGATAAAAAAATCTATATCTTGTTAACATTCTTTCAAGACCTTCCACCCCCCCCCCTCCCCGTTCAGTTCCTCAAGATTTTGAAATAAACATGACCAAATTCCCCGAAAAAAAAAATTCCGGGGGGGGGGGGATAAAAAATTATCATTTTAGTACTAACAGAGATCCCCTTCATAGAAGGTCTCCATAACCGTTCCATTTGAGACCCTCAGATTTTTATTGGAGACCCCAAGCATATCATTAGAGATCCCATGCTTTTCATCGGAGACCCAGATTTTCATTGGTGAACCCAAGTTTTTTCCTCAGATACTCCAAGCTTTTTGTCGGGGACCCCAAGATTGTCATTAAAGACCCCAAGCTTTTCATCAGATACCAAAGCTTTTTTTCGGAGTGTAGTAAATGCCGTACTCATAAAACTGCTTCCAGACCTGTATCAATCCAGGTACAACTCGTCAGCTATCAATGTGAATAGGGACACAAGCTCATAAACTATAATCAATGTCAAACCAATAGGAACAATCTTGTCAGCTATCAATGAAAACAGGGACACAAGCTCATAAACTATAATCAATGTCAAACCAATAGGAACAATCTTGTCAGCTATCAATGAAAACAGGGACACAAGCTCATAAACTATATCAATGCCAAACCAATGGGCATGATCTTGTCAACTATCAATGTCAACAGGGACACAAGCTCTTTTGCGATCAATGCCAAACCAATGAGCACGATCTCAGCGCATATGTTTCAACTAGGACCAAATTACTCTATCACTGTAATCAAATCGGAGTATCTTCCAACTAATGTGTATTTAGAAATCTATGTTACATATTAAGTTAATAAACATATTAACAAGATATATATCGTCGTAGTTAAGCTAATCACAATACGTAGTTTTGCGTAGTTGAGGTTTAGCGCAGTTATATTTATACAGACAATGTACAACATAATTTATTTAGGTATATTTAAGCTGTATTATTGCAAGGTGACCCCAAGCTTTTCATTTGACACCCAGATATTAATGAGAAAACCTGCTTTTCATCCCATCATTGTATAGAGACCCCAAGATTTTCATTGGAGATACCTAGGTTTTTTTTGGGGGGTCTGCAATGAAAATTCTTGAGTGTCAAGATATGCCAGTATTGTTCCATAAACCTCAAAGTCACCCCTCCTCCCCATAAGTCCCAACTAGTCTCTGCTGGCTAATCTAGGCTAACAAGAAAAAGTGAATAATATAATGATTATAAATTCCAGTGTTCTTGTAACACTAAACTATTGTTTTTAAAAAAAGATTCAATTAAGAAAAAGAATTAGGAAAAACAGATAATATTTAAATTTGTATTGATAACAATTTTTAAAATTTTAATATATTCTAGAAATTTAATCATTTATTAATTTTCGAATTTTATTGCTAAAAATAAAAGAATACATTCTCACAATTAATAATTACTATGTACGGATGTCGATTTCTACAAAATTTTTGTAAAGCGTCTATATAATGTTAGAATAACGTCTGAACAATGTCTGTAAAGCATCTGTAAAATGTCTGTATAACAGCTGTCTAACTCTAAATAATGTCTGTATAACATCTGTCTAGCTCTATATAATGTCTGTATAACATCTGTCTAGCTCTAAATAATGTCTGTATAACTGCAGTATAACTATAAATAATGTGTGTATAACAGCTGTCTAACTCTAAATAATGCCTGTATTACAGCTGTCTTACTCTACTCTATTAATGTCTGTATAACAGCTGTCTAACTCTAAATAATGTCTGTTTAAAAGCTGTCTAATTCTAAACAATGTCTGTATAACATCCGTCTAGCTCTATATAATGTCTGTATAAAGGCTGTTTAACTCTACATAATGTCAGAATTAAGCTGTCTAACTCTGTATAATGTCTGTATAAAAGCTGTCTAAATCTCTATATTGTCTGTATAACAGCTGTCTAACTAGTCTCTATAAAATTATGTCTGTATAACAGCTGTCTAATTGTGTATAATGTCTAACTAGTAGTATAAGCTCTGTATAAAGGATTCTAGACTTGTACAGGATTTTTAAGTTTATGTGTCTGCTGGGAATTACGGAAACACATTCTCTTAATGGATCCCACTTCACGATACAAATAAGAACAATGGGGTCCTTCAATTAAATAGAAATATAGATAGACAGACAGACATATATATGTAAAGATAGATAGATAGATATATTGTCAGACCACTCTCTTGCAATTACTTTTAACTATAAGCAGAAAAACGTTAATAAAACAAATTGCCATAAAAAAGTCTAAAATAATGAAAGACAAACATAGATTTAATTTTGTATAATTTTTCTCTGGTTTGGTTCGCACTCGATAAATCGTCTTTACTGATTAAAGTTTAAAACATACTGTAGCAGTTGAGCCAAACTTTTTCTAGCCGTTTCGTTAACAGTTAGGTCCAACCATTAAAAAAGAAAAATTTCAGGTAGGTGTAAATTTTAAAGGTAAGAACGAAACGTTCGTTTCGTTAATGGCATTTACCGTTTTTTTTTAATTACCGTTAGTTATAATTGTGCGTTAATCCCAAGTTTGCGCTGTTGTTGGCTGTGAACTACACCATGAGCGTACTTCAGATCTGATTATTATACTGTAAGTTGGATTCTCCTACTTTCATATATTAGTTAACCGTTGAAATTGTACACTACAGATAAGGTTTCCAATCGCAATAGTTTTGCGCGCAATGAAAAGTTGCCCGTGAAAATATAAATTTGGCGCTTTTGCTTTATTGCTTTGTAACAAATGCCTTACTCCAATAGTTCTTTTAAGTATGTATCAATCCTGATACAACTCTCTTTATGCTCAAGTAAGTATCAACTCATATACAACACTCTCTATTCGACTGCATTTATCAATTCAGATACTTCTCGCTCAAACTCTATACTCTTTACACGAGAACTTACACTTAAATCTGTATCAATACAGATACAACTATCTCTGTATTCTTAAGCATGATTGCGGTTTTAGCTGCAGTCCCCTTGAACAGTGCACAGTCCATAGCTGCAATCCTCCTGAACAGTGCACACTCATAACTGCAGTACCCTTGAACAGTGCACAGTCATAACTACAGTCCCCTTGAACACTGCACAGTCCTAACTGCAGTCCCTTTTAACACTGCACAGTCCTAACTTCAGTCCCCTTGAATAGTCCAATTCCTAGCTGCAGTTCCCTCGAGTAGTTCACAGTCATAGCTGCAGTCCCCTTGAACAGTCCATAGTTTTAGTGCAGTCCCAACAGTTCACAGCCCTAGCTGCAGTCCTCCTGAACAGTGCACATTCCTAACTGTAGTCCCCTAAACAGTACACAGTACTACCTGCAGTCCCCTTGAACACTGCACAGTGCTAGCTGCAGGCCACTTACACAGTGCACAGTCTTAGCTAAGGTCCTCTGAACAGTGCACACTCCTAGCTGTAGTCCTACTGAACAGTGCACAGACCTAACTGCAGTTCCCCGAACAATGCACAGTCCTAGTTGCAGTCCTCCTAAACAGTACAGAGTCCTAGCTGCAGTCCCCTGAACAGTGAACAGACCTAACTGCAGTCCCCTGAACAGTTCACAGTCCTAGTTGCAGTCCTCCTGAACAGTACAGAGCCCTAGCTGCAGTCCCCTGAACAAATCACAGTCCTAACTGCAGTCCCCTGAACAGTGCACGGTCCTACCTGCAGTACCCTTGAACAGTACACAGTTCTAGTTGCAGTCCTCCTAAACAGAACAGAGTCCTAGCTGCAGTCCTCCTAAACGGTGCACAGTCCTAACTGCAGTCCTCCTAAACAGTACACAGTCCTTACTGCAGCCCTCCTAAACGGTGCACAGTCCTAACTGCAGTCCTCCTAAACGGTGCAGAGTCCTAACTGCAGTCCTCCTAAACGGTGCACAGATAACTTGAAAACATATTTAATAATTAAAGTAAACAAGGATTTAAAGTAAATACAATACAACTCATTTTAGAGGGAGTGTTTGCGAAAAACAAAAGGTGGCTTACGGCGAAAAATAAGCGCTTTTGATAGCTACTAATCTTTCTTCTATCTTTTGAGTCTACACTCTACAAGGAGAAAATAGTTAAAAACGACTTATACTGAAGAACATAGCGTCCATAAAAACTCTGAAAGTTTTAATATCTGACTGGGATCGTAAAAAAATCAATTTAATTTCAAACAAATCATTCATATATTACAACAAATAATCATCGGTAATTTTTCGATGCATTCATATATAGTTAATATTTTCAACTTTCTGATTTGTATGGACACTACGTTCTTCGGTATAAGTTGTTTTTAACAATTTTCTCCTTATAGACGCAACAGATAGAAGTAAGATTAGTAGCGATCAAAAGTGCTTATTTTTCGCGAACACTTCCTTTAAAATCTATAGAAGAGAAATTTAGTTAAAAATCCAGTTTCTATCTTCTTCAATTAAAGTTAGACCATTAAAATGCCCAAGGGACCTGTTAGGGAATGAAATAGGCTATAAAGGAATAAAAATCGATGACATCTTTTCCTTTGCTGCTGATATGAAGA